CTCCGCTGGAAGGACAGCACTGAAGCTCAGTCTAGAATCCAGACCATCACACCTCATCTCCGTCACAACAATGACATCATGCAGTGGCACATTTTGGTCTTTAAAACTAAGCACCTATTAATCTTTTCTTATTTTGGAAGAGAAATGCATGCAAGCAGCTTCCCAGAATAACTGATCTGGCTTACAGTAAGAGAGGAGGCTGGATGTTTTAAATCAGCCTATTTTGACATAATTTATACAAAATCACCCTATAGTTCAGGTTTTGAAAAGTACTGCATTTAATTAAATTCACATCTATTAGTCAGTTGATCAACTAGATGGTCAACTAAATCAACCAAAATGTTCAACTAAACATGAAGTTAGCAAGGCCAGAAAGTCTTTTAATTCTATATTAAAATTTGCATTTCTCTTCACACAAGAACGAGCCAAGATGCTCAATTTTATTTACCAAAAATAAAACATTTCCAACTGCCCTTTAACACCTGCCAAGCTATCTGATTACTACCAGCACAGAAGTATTCCTCACTGAATTGTCATCAGCATGCCCATGCTTTCTTGGACACCTCCCATCCAGGATCCAGCAAGAATTAGTTTTACTTGAGAGATCTATGTGAATTCCAACACACGGACATCTCAGTATAGCTTCCCCCTTTCCTGCCGAAGGGCACCTACCTTGGGCATTTGTACCTCTACCCCAACTGCCAGCTTTGTTAACACCTACATTATTTATATTTAACCCAGCCCCTGGGGCGGGCAGGACTGAGACAGCATCACAACAGTTGTGCTGGTAACACCTCGGCAGGTTTAGGGCTCTCACCCCGCTGACACTCTCTAAACATGTAATGGTCCCTTTTACGTTAAAAAAAACCACAAGGAATTATGTTGCAAGCATTCGATGGAACAATATTGGTACAAACTTTTCCAGCACAAAGTACTTTCATCTGCTACTTGACTTTATCATTCCATGACTGGGCATCAACACCTCCGCCAATTCTGCTATTGCTAAGAGGATTTTCCATTGCTTCCCAGCATTAGATCATGATCTAGATATGCAAAGGCATCTTTCAAATACCCCTGCTTCACCGTCCGGGTAAGCGTGAGAAGAAACAGCAGCACATCCCCAGAACTGATAAGGTGCAATAGAACAATTTGTTATCAGTTAATGAGACACCCTTAATACACGGTTACTAAATATTTGTCCATATTTCTGCAATATTTCATTGCTGACACATTTCAATGACTTAAAGCAATCTCATTCAAACCTTCCAAGAGGTTCCCTGACATTTAATTCTTCAAGACAGCCCAGCTATGCACTTAGGAAAACAGTGTAAGGATACACCCATGAGCTAGCAGGCATGGCAGCTACCACATGAAGGGTCGTCCAACTTTGCTCTACCTCCAAAAGCAGGAATTAGGCAACTACAGGCAATGAGAACTACTCTGATGCCAATCCCTGCTTAGTCCTACATGCCCATTTAAAACAGCATAGGTTAAGCACGGAAAGAAAGCTAAATAAAGCAGGTTCCTGCTCATCCTTACTAGAGACTCAAGGAATTAGCGACCAACCGTGTGGCAGCCCAAGGCATCACCTCACAGATCTACATGATCACCTTGGCTCCTGGCTGAGCTGGCAAAGCAAATTTCAGAAATGATCAGATTTGGTCTTTTATAGCAAATGAATACTCCACGACATGCCAAGAATTCCTACCTGCAACTTTATGAGCCACTATGGACGCTGATGTGTAACAGGACATATTAATAGTCTAAAAACAAGAGTTTAGCCGACAAACTCTGGCTTGTTTTGCAAAGACATCTAGGATCCAAAAAACCCCAAATCCT